TAATTCTCATAATTTAAGCGTGGACGTTCCATTAGCAGTCAACGTTCTCGGCCTATGAGAGCCTCTACGAAGATTTCAGGAAAGCATAAATTCGTTATTTAGTCATTTGCGGTACAACGTCCTAATGGCGGCAATTACCTGCACGACCGTCGTCGTCGTTATTGTCCATCGGGGGGGAGGTCGTGCGAGTGTATCCGTATATTACGCCACGTGTAACGTAATATATGCGCAACATGCCTGTATATTACACGCGTTAAACGCATAGATACACGCAGTCGGTCGGCTTTCTTCCAGGCCGCTCGTTAATGAAGCGGTGCTCGGCTCGTGTTCCTCTCGTCGGGCCATCCTCACTTCGTCATTACGCGAGACGCAACCTCTGGGGTCTGGAAATTTCGTACCACCGCCGCTCGACGCAATACGAATAATGTCACTTTCCGTGTAACCGTGGAAAATCGCAAAGCGATCCTCTCGCGGCGTGTGGCTCGCGTGAAATTCTGATAAATTGCCGCGCAAGATTTAATTCTCAATGCGCTTGACCCTATACACGAATTTTTCCGTCACACGAAAATAATTTTGCTGAAGCATCTTAAAATTTAACTAGATAGAGATCTAAAGATACTTTTGTTACATTATCGAAATAATTATGCAGGGCACTCAAATTTGTTACTGAAACTCTTTGCAGTATCTATTACTTATCATGTTTCAGCGTCATAATTATTTTGATGGTCCAATAGAATTATTTTCAACAAAATCATTCTTTCCATGATAATTTCTAATTCAATTCCGCGCAATGTAAATGACATTCAAAGTGACTTGAAAACTTTTTGCGGTTGCCGTCTAAAATAACTTATGAATGCTTCTGCTAACATAGCTTGAATTGACATAAATTTATTTTGCTGCTAAATATTTTTTCTAAAAATCAATTGTTTATAAACAAAATACGCCCAAGGAATCGCGATTTCTTGTAAAACGCGCGTTCCTTCCTTGATTTACGAGGAATTCCTAGCGATTAGAGAGAGAGAGAGAGAGTCGACTCGAGTCACGCTTCTTGTCACGGATCGAATATGTGACATTTCGTGACTGCGGGTACTTTTTTGTTCGGCATACAAAACGTCTTCAGGATTCTGCACAATTAAGCGGAATCCTTGATCGTATATGTACCTCAAATGTTTTCATTGATAGTCTTAATTGTTCGAAGTACTTTTTACAGAATATATAATACCGTCACATTATTCTACATTAAAAACATTCTCAAGCTAAAATAGAACAAAAATATATAATATATTAATTTTTTCAACTAGACTACTTTTAACTGTGTAGAAGCGTGATTTTCCATTGTATTTTAAAAATTACGTAAAATTTATAAACAAAATATATATTTAATAGGACTCTCGAAAATCAAACAATAAAATATTAATAAACGAGCAATGAGAACATTAATACAGCGCGGTACTTGGAGCGCAATACATATATAATATATTCTCAATAATTTTACATTAAGTATCTATACAAACTTCTTGAACGTTTCGGTTTCCTTGAAATCATCATCAGCAATGCCATATATAATTTACTATACAATGTCTTAGTAGTATTCATAGTCCGCAGATGTTGGAAATAATTTCTGTTAGACAGAGGATGAGCATACCTCTACTTCCTAGTTGAGAATTGCCGAAATGTCTCTTCTGTTTAAGTGACTCTAACCTTCGCCTCCATAGATTACAATTCAAAGTGCCACACGTCATATTACAATATAAGTAAAAATTTTAATTTTACATTAAATATAAAGATATTGTTACAGGTGTTATCCATATGGAAGTAGATATGTGATGATGGTTTGAAGGAAATCGAAACGTTCAAGAAGTTTGTATACATACTTAATGTAAAATTATTAAGAATATATTATATGTATTGCGCTCCAAATACCGCACTGTATTAATGCTCTCATTGCTCGTTCATTAATATTTTATTCTTGTAAAATTTAAAGTATCTCTTAGAAAAAAATGTAATCTTATTTATTTATTTCGACCGTCGATGGTGAACTTCCGTGACGACGAAATTGTTTTATCCGATATTCTCGTCTGAAAATGGAATATTCGAGCGGATGTATATTATAGCGCATGGCCGGTCAGAACGATGATTCGCCAGCGTGGAATTTGGAGAATACCACGCCGCGTTTTTCGAGAGCACATCCCTCGTATAAAAATAGTCCGCCCGATATTACACGCGGCTTCCTCGCGCGAATACCGTTGTTGCTCTCATACTAGAGCGGAAAAAATGGCGATAATACTTCGCATCGTACGCTGAGATAGAATCTCTCTAATGTCTAGAGCCACTACCAATCGCAGCTTCTACCAAAAATTTGCAGTTTTATCTTCATTTTCTAGAGAAAAATCTTGGTTCAAGTTTTTGTAAAATGTTAATTTTTTATATTAAATATATTAAATGTATTCGAGAGATGGCTAAATTAAATTTTGTTAACTTTTAACAAAAGTATCTCTAAAAAACAATTAATACCTATATTGCTAATTATTTAAATATATAATAATGATAATACATGATTAAAAAATATCGAGGCGAGGAGAGATCGTAGCTGTTGTTACAAACGTCGAATTATAATTTATTTTTTACGTTTGAAGTTTGAATACTCCAGTTTGGAGAGAGTTAAAATGTCCATGTCGAGTCCATCGATGTTGAACTATTTCCGCGGCGTGCGAACTATCGTTACGGTAAACAGAAAATATCACTAGCGTCGAAACGGCGCGAAGTAGCGCGTTAACTCACGGACTTTAGGAGTTTGTTATTTCAGTTTTGGCGTTAACTCCCGCGAGCCAACGACAAGAGACATTCGCCAGACCACCCTGAAATCGTTTTTCTCCTCCCTCTCTTGTGTCCCTTCCACCGGTTACCGACTTTCTACACTGCGTCGTGACCAATAGTGCCTGATGGTGCTGATGCTAAGCCTTCGGGCACGAAAATAACTAAAACGCACGGTGTGTTACAGCAACGGCGTGATGTAAGATTTTCCACGGTATATAACCGGGAATTTGAAGCAGAAAAGATTGCATTGGCACGCGTTATCGGTGGATAATTCGATCTCGATGCACTGAAAGAGTGGAGCAAAATTTTTTTTGATGGAGTAGTGGTCTTATATTTTACAGATGACTTATTTTCGTAATAGTCCTGACAAAGAAACGTGAGAAAAAAAATCGAAAATACGCGACAGAGCGGCGCTATGACGAACTCTAAGTCTGGTAGCAGAGTTGTTTTTATGGAACTTATGGGACGGATCGAATCGCGCACGCGGCCACGATTAATCGGATGGAATTCGTGTCGCAGCCTCACCGTGGCTCCGTCGAGGACGATCAAAAAGTCCTTACCGCGTACCACGGTGAACGGGACATGCAGCGCGAGCACGCAACGAGAGAGGCTCCTTTTCTCTTCTGCCGAGCATCTTCTCTCTTAGCGGGCCGGTTCTTCTACAAGAAACACTTTCAATGGACCACACGCGCGACGACCTCGCGCTCGGCGAGTGCGCTTCTTACAGGGTCAGGGCTTATGTCATCTATCTTAGGGAGCTGCGCTCATATTCAGCCGCGGCGACACTCCAATGCACCGCTCACAGTGGGACCTTTATCCACCGAAACAGCAGAGAGGCCTTTAGGTTCCGTGCGCATCACGATGTAATGAGCGATGAAATGGATGAGCTCGTTTATTAACCCCCTCTATTGTGCTCCACTCTCAGTTTAAATGTTTATAGCAGTCGGGATTATCTTCCATTTGTTATAACTATACATTTTTAAAAAGAGGTTGTTTTAGTCACGAAGTAGTTTTTCGACTTAAAATCACAGTGAAGTAATTTTTTAAATATATAAATAGATCCTTTTTGCTAATCGCTACTTTGAACATTTCCGAATCATAATGTTTATCCCTATATATATCTGTCATGTAAAAAATAAATAACTGTCTACATGAACATATTATTAATTATCTAACATATATTTTAGATTATAATTTTAGATTGCTATCAGGTAAATAAGATTTAATATCTTGATGTAATCTACGGAGTTTACATATTTATTTTTTAAGTTGACGTGTATATAAACTGACATGTAAATAATTAGATATTACGAATTAAATATCAAGCAAAGGAGTTAAAAATACCACGTTTATTGCTTGAGAAACAAGTTAATTAGACATGAGAGTTTAAACAAATTGATTAATGTGTGAATGATCGTAGCAATGACAACAATGTTATTATAGATTTTACTTTAAAATAATATGATCGGTGACTAAGTATTGACTACAAAGTTTAATGTTTGTAACTTGTTCTTTATTGCTTGTGAATATGTAATTTTAAGGAAATATTTATTAGCGTAACGAATTTTGCGTTGATAGATACGGGTCGTTTTTGTTTCGATTAATTGGTTTTATCGCCAACGAGACGATTTCGATAAGATCGCTGTGCCGTTTCGTCACATCATTATTCCTTCCGCGTCAAGGATACAGTTACCGTATGTCGGAAGCGATAAGCGACAAAAGGAAAGAGAAATACTGGCTATAAATTAATCTTTAAGTACCACGTGAAAAGAAATTTATATTGACGGTAATCTCTTTTAGGAACTCATGTAGATAAAATGCATTATATAAAAAATTATGTGTATAAATGTGTACTATAAAAAGAATATATATGTAAAAGTGATCTATTCTTAATAATCTATATATATTTTTAATTAATGAATATTTTATTATGTATTAATCCTGTCTAATCAAAACATTACCATAAAGTTGTAAATCATAAAAGATAATGTCTACTCAAAATTATTTGTTCTAGAAGATTTATAAAATATATAATATTTAGTAAATTCAGCCAAGAATCTGTAATCCAGAAAAAAAATTGACATATTTATGGGACGACATACGTAACTTGTTATCAATAAACTGACGGAATATGCAGGAAAAGCGAATGTCTTGAATAATATCGACCTTGCTTTTCGTTACAGTGGCCCACGTGGTTTTTCCGCCCAGATCTTCCACTTGGCACGCCGCTACCGACGAGTCACGTTCCAAATTCGAGTAACGTTCCTACTTCGTCGCCTCTGCCATCTCGGACGCATCTGGACGTTCCGAAAGGACCGGAGCCTCCTTCCAACACCAACAAAGTCCATGGACAGACGCCAACGATATGCACAGTGAGTGACACGTTTGATTATTTGTGATTTGATTCTGCTAACTAGACCGTAATAATTATGCGACTGTGTCTTGTCAGTATAGAAATCTTACAAGTGACCGAAATCCAAAATATTGGAAACTTGTGGCAAGTAAAAAATATGGTCTATGTTTATGGTTAAAAATTTTAGAAACGTATTGTATTTAATTAATTTGATAGAATCCGAAAAACTATAAGTTAATAGTAATAAATAGCTAAAGAGTAAATAAAAACGACAATAGCTATATAAAAATTAAAAAATTTTGAAGGGAGAGAAATATGATATAGATATAGTTATCGAAAAAGATATTTTGTCCTTCTTTAAAAAATTATATTTATAACAACGGTGTCTCAATATTTGATCAGTACTAATTACTAATAATTATTTTAAAATCTGATCGATTATTAAATCACTCAATAATAGTTAAATGCCGATAATATGCACGGTAAGCGATACTCATTCGCTCGTTGGCGATTTTAATTAATGCACAATATCGTTAGTGGCGTCGATTATTCTCGACTATAATTGTTATTAATTTATTTGACCGCAACTTTATGCCGCTACAAACTTCACGAGTGCGTAAAATTGTAACGCAATTCTATCCCCGTACCGTCCAGTGTCACGTTATTCAAAATAAGTGATTAAATCAATTCGATTTTTTTGCACATCTTGCGATCGCGTAACGATGACTTATGTGGGGCGAAGTTTTGCTGTCCGACAAAAACAACGCCGGTTAACTTGTTCTCTCGAGCTGGTAATAACGCATAATGAGCAGTAATTTTGTATAAAATTACAGATATATTTGTATCACGCGTGTGAACGGTGACGGTAAGCTTTATAGCCTTCAAACGAGGTCGATTGTCATTTGTATACATCCGATCCGATCGCGTTTGATCACCGGTCATGGAGCGAAGTAATTTTCATCGCGAACGACGCGAACCTAGTACTTCGTCGCGATAGAATGCTGACAGGTGACACCGGCAACTGAAATACGCGCTTAGCACGAAACGATATTCTCCTGCAAGCTATGATTTTGTCTTCTACGTCATATACTATAATGCTAGTGACGTTCGCTTTGTTGACATCGAGCGATCACGACCCTCGTACTTTTTTGTATGCTTTTATAATCGCAACGGTTTTTTTCGCCGCGACATCGAATGTCATAAGAAGAATGATAAATATACATAAACATTTCTCGTTTTTTTAAACGTCTGTTTATTGCGAGTGGTGTATATAAATTAAAGGAATATTGACAAGATACTCGAATAATATAGACAAGTTAAAATGTTGTATCATCGTTCTAGGTATCACAACTTACACTGGAAAAAATCTGATTGCATTAATTGGAATTCTGATTGATTCATCACATATGTAGAAATGGGATACTTATAGTTAAACCTATTAAATATTCTAGTTGAAATTACCACAAATTTGATTATCAGAATTTTGATTGATATGATTTCATTTTCAGAAAAGATCTTCAAAACTATGAGAAAAAAGATTTTGTAATATTTTATATTCCTAATAACTATGTCACATTTCTCAAAAAATGCTAAATTTTTCAATTTACGATTATTTCGACTTCTAAACCTTGAAAAAAGCAGGTAAAAAAGATATAGGTCTAATATTTTTTATAAAGTTTTGCTCTACAATATAAATTGAAAAAGAATTTGATAATAATTACTAAATATTAAGTGAAATAATTTCAATCAAGTGTTTGGTCAATATAAAAATAATTGTACTTTTTTAAATGTTTATTATCACAAAGATAACCAACTGTTTGATAACAATTGCTAAATATTTAGAAAATTAAAATTTTTTGTTACATTAACCGAAGATTTGATTAAAATTATGTTACTTAACATTTGATAGCTATATTACCAAATTTTTTTTCAATATCTCTGTAGCCCATCAAAATTGGTGAGGGACAGTTCCAACAATTTCTTACACAGTAAAAAAATTTGTGTATTTGTGTTGGAAACGGTCCACTCACGTTTGTGTTAACAGTTTGTGTTGAATTTTTTAACATATTCGAGTGTTAATTTAACATAATGTGATTATGTTATTTAAAGATTTTTTGTGAAATTGATATTCAATGTTTTTTAGTGTCAAAATGACACAATTTATGAGTAAGTGAACAAGTAACATAAAAATAATGTGTTTTAAAACGTAAATTCTAAGACAAATGAATAAAATCCATGTTAATTTAACCCGTGTGAAGCTGGCCCCCCAATATTTTATATACATTAGGCATATATTTTTCATGAATCGTATATTTCAGCCACGAATGGCCCACTACTTATATGGAATATACAGTAAAAATACAAGAGTTTCTCAAAGTTATTTTTTAAATAAAAAATAAATATTTCTAATACTTTTTTCAGTAGTAGATAACTTTTAAACTAAGGGTGAGCACACACACAAATGAAAATTCCGACGGAGCATTCGTGAGCAAACGATAAGCAAACGAATGCAAAAAAAGATACAATTTTTTAATTTTGGGGGGCTAGTGTGAAATTGGCCCCAAAAGTTTCAATTTCGTATAATTTTTGAACTAAGGGTGAGCAAACGAAAATTTCGACGGAGCATTTGTGAGCAAACGATGAGCAAACGAATGCAAAAAAAATTCGATTTTTTAATATTGGGGGGGCCAGCTTCACCCGGGTGTTAATTTAATACATATCATAAATGTTAATTTTCGGACAAAAAATATGCTTTCACGATTTGTTTACAAATTGTGTCGATGTTATCTTTCTTTGTATTTATTCTCTTACATAATATTTGTGTTACCTTCTAACATATTCATCTTGTGTAAAATTATCTAAAAAATTTGAGTGAACCGTTTGGGACATGCGATTTATGTCAAATTCAACACATTTTTTCCAACTGTGTGTCAATGTACTGTCTTTATTGTCTTACTTTACTTTCAATGGTACGATTGACACCAAACTATCCCGTCAACGGTTCCGTCCTCCCGTCATTCAGTCGCCGGAACTCATTTCCGAGCTGGGAGGCGCATAGGCTTAACGATCGGCGACACGGCACAGACGTGACGGTCGTGTAAGTTACGGGACCGACACGGAACACGATCGATATTCAATTTACAGTTTTGTCACAACGGTATTGCGTGTGTTTCGTGGAAAAGTGGTGCCACGTGGACGTTACACCGTGGGAGTCATTCCGGCAATGCTGCTATTGGCATGGTCTGAAACCCTGATAACCGCGTGGGCGACGAGCACCTCGTTAGAGCGCTGTCGTGGCGCTCGTTAGCGCGGACTATGCGTCTCGTCGACCGTTACAGAGTCATTTAAACGCAATATTTAATAAAGGCACGCGTGCGAGACTCACGGACAGGGTGTACCCTCCATAACTGCGCCGGGGGAGCCTGGGTCGGCTTTCTTCTCTCCTCTTCCGCCTCCTCCTCCTCCTCCTCCTCCTCTGTTATGATTGTTATCCGCCGGTCGCGTAAATCGCGACGCCCGGATATTAATTATCGCGCGAGATCGCGAGTAGTCGCGCCGAATGATCGATCTGGTCGCCGCGATTAAAGACGGCACTTGAGTGGGCGGAGGAGGCAATTTATATCAGCCCACGGGCGTGTATAAGTCACGATGTGTTTGGACGCATGTACCGTATCGAAAATAATTTTGTCTGGGATTAATTAACCTTTGAAACGTGCAAAGCGATTGCCAATATGTTTAACGATGTTGGCTTAGATATAACAAATGACTGGCAAAAATGTTATCAAACTATTCGAAGATCAAATTTGAATTTAAATTTATTTAAAAAGAATTCTGCTTCACTGAGAAAAATGTTTCGATTGTATCAACAAGAAGTACAAACAAAATGAATTTTAATCGTATAAATTAGAATTCTGGTTATCTCGATTATATAGAATTTCATGAATTTAACCACAAGTGTTTAATTTGTACCTATCTCTCTCTAGTTGGATCTATCAGAATTCCAATTAATAAAATAAGACTTTTTCCAGAGTTAAAAATTTAGTAACAATTTAACGCATATTTTCTCGGAGATCAACTTCGCAATATGCAATTTTGAATATTTTTCAAAGTTCATTTTTAAAAGTTCCCATAAAGTACGTTCCGATTTTAAAACTGCGAATACATACAATATGCAATTTTGGATTTTTTTAAATTTTCAAAAGTTTCCATAAAATATGTCCCGAGTTTAAGACTGACAGCGAATACATGCGAGCTCGTGAAAGCAGTGTCATTTTCGGAGTTTATTTCTCCTCGTTCGTAAGTTTACGACGCGTGGAAACAGCGATCGCTCGGGCCTATTTTTATTTCTCTCATGAGTTATCCGCAGCCACTGCTGCCCTATTTATTCTCATTGTAGTCGCTCGTCGGCAGAGAGTCATAAGGCAGCATGATATTATCTGCGGACGTTACTATGTATTTTCCACGTGCTCCATATCGACGCGCACGGTCGCGCTAATAAATGTGCGTTTGTAAAAAAAAATTGTTCCGTTCGGAGAAACAGTTACTGCAAATTGCGACCGTGCGGAGGTACCTATATACCTGGCGCGCGGTTACGCGATCCTCGATATTCTATCCGGATCGTTAACGGCGATAACACGCAGTGATTTTATTTCGGAGGATCAAGAGAAATACTCTCTCTCCTCTCTCTCTCTCTCTCTCTCTCTCTCTCTCTCTCTCTCTCTCTCTCTCTCTCTGCGCACACGGCTGCTCGCCGAAATTCGAAGCACGCGGCGAGCCTTAACCCTCGACCACCACGTTCGATTCGGATAACATAACTACTTCGGTAAAGGAATCCAGTTCCGATCCCTGATAGAAATGGCGCAGTATTTCATGCGTATGGCAAGTATTGTTGCTCCAAACTCTTTATTTTTCCATTATTTAGTAAATGGACGGGGTTGAGCGACTCGTTCTCGGTATAGATCCTAATTATTGCGTTAATCGCGGAAGAGAGAATTCACTCTTCTTACTTTTATCACGGGC